AGAGTATATTAATTTTAAATGTTAAATTGTTTACTGGCCTGCTGCTTAAATAAACAACAAGGATATACTGTAAAGTACAAGGAAAGTACAAGCTTCTTTTCCAGAAGTGTTAGACAATTTTGGAAAGTAGCAGATCAAGCAAGATTTTTTTTTTCCTCTCTGGAAGTTAACCAACAACCCAGAGTACTGAATTCCCAAGGCAGTCAGAAGCCCAAGTGTTGCTTGCAGAAATTTATCCAAACAACTCACCAGTGTAAAATCCATAATTTCCTTTTGTCTGGGATGATTTGAAAGGATATCTATCTTTTAGGCCCATATGTTGGAACAAATCTGGAGGAGAAGCCTGGATCACAACAGTAATAAATACTCCAGCCTTTACTTGAAGCAGTACTGCAGTACACATTATATTATTTATTTAATCCATCCCCATTCTTTACAACTTAATTACATAATTACAAATTATCTCACCAAATTCCACCCACATGAGTTTGTGCTAAAATCTAAGCTAAAAACTCCAGTTGTAAAATATATGTTCCTTTTGGATTTACCTCTGAGCAACCCCTTTATAATAAAAAATCATCACTTTACTTTTGTCTACAGTTTCAGTAGTTAAACAGCAGTCTTCAAATTATAGACTGACTTGGGACACATTTAATACATAGCTGTGTTTTAAAGTGCTTTGATAGTTTTTGTGGACCAACGATTAAAAAATTATTTCCCTTTAGATCTCAGAAATTAAATTATCCTTCAAAAACAGAGGAAAAACCATCATACTCCAAAGTGAATCTCAATAGAACATAAATATATAACATACCATCAAGTGTCATTAGATGAGAGATATTCAAAATATTAACACGAGTCTTTCATTTGATTCTAAGAACTTTGGATACATATGAATAACAGCTGTACTTGGATAGGTGATATTTTTCTCCTCAAAGAATACCTTCAATAACTGTATCTTTCATTTTAGCACAATCAAAAAGAAAGATAATAGAAGACAGCCTGATTTAGGAATGAAAAATTAAGTTGAAAACTGTATAATAAACATTTAAAAGCCACTTCTTCTATTTCTAATTTTCTTTATTTTAAAAAGAAGGCATTTATTTCTCTTGGAATTAAAAAATATAAAATGTATGTATTTTATTGTATAGAAACACAAAGCTTTGTTAGGACAGAGAGAAAAGTTGTGACAGCCTTCAATTACCTTTGGGTATGTGCTTATGTGGCAAACCTCAGCTTCCTGATATTCTTGACTCGATGCACTTCCACTATTTTACTACTGATAAAATTAAGAAGAGAAGGTAATAAAATTAATTTAAAAACAAAAGTGAGGGCTCATTTCATATTTCCTGGCAGAATATCTCCTCTCCAGGAATAGATATATAAAGGTAACATAAATCTTAAAGTCAGGAGGCTACTGTAACCCATTTTCTTGAATTTCAGAGGCCAAAAAGTGGTCCAAACTTATGAGATTTGGACAGTTACTTTTCATGACTATGATGACATCAAACAGTGGTTCATTTTCCAAGTGACCTAAAAGCTGCTATTTTTGAGTGGGGCACAAAACAAGAGAAGACTCTGCAGCAGGTTCATGTTGCTTTGCAAGCTGTTTTGAATGTGGGCCATGTGGATTCAATGTTTCTTGAAGTGTCAGTGGCAGATAGGGATGCTGTTTACAGCATTCCACAGGCCCCATAGGTAGATTGTAGTGCAGGTCCGCAGGTTTTGGAACAAAGCCTTGTCATCCTCTGTGGATAACTATTTTCATTTTGAAAAATTGCTCCCAGCTGGCTTCTGGGCCTTAGTAGAGACTGAAAATTTAAACATGGGCGACCTACTTTCTGTATGACATGTATTGCACATCACAAACTAGGTTTTATCTTACTCACCAAATCATAAACGTGGATGTGCACAGCAGCAATTTATTATCAAATGGAAGTGATATATACATGATCAGGCTCAAGCAGGCCCTGAAGGCACATGCAGTTTATTTGAAGTTAGTCAAATGCTATGGGCCCCATTTCTGGCACCAGAATCTCTTTTAGTCAAGGTTCTCCAGAGAAGAAGAACAAAATATACAATGTGTACATATATGAATCATATATATATATATATATATATATAAAATTTATTTATTTATTTTGAGTTTAATTTATTTTAAAAATTTGCTTATAAAATTATGGAGGCTGAGAAGTCCCACCATCTGCAGCTGGAGAGCCGGGGGCATGCTAATGGTATAGTTCCAGTTTGAGTCTAAAGGCCTGAATACCAGGAGAGCTAATTTTATAAGTTCCAGTCTGAGTCAGAGTCTGAATGTAAAAGAAGTTTGATGTCTCAGCTCCAAGACAACCAGGAAGAGAGATAACTCTTTCTTATTCAGTCGTTTTGTTCTCTTCCATCCTTCAGTGGATTGAATAGTGCCCATTCACATTAGGGAGAAAGATTTGCCTTAGTCTACACATCCAAATGTTAATCTCATCTAGAAACACCCTCACAGACATACCCAGAAATAATGCTTAACCAAATATTTGGGCCAAAAATATCTGGGACACATCAAATTAATCATCACATTCACACTTAAGAAAATAATCCTTCTAATACTATTGGTTTTCTTTGCCCTAAACTGTTCAATGATTTAAACAGTCAGTTATCAGATACCACTGCACTCTCCATCTAAGTCTTGCTTCCCACCATGAGAAGCACTTCCTCTTTATTATCCCTGACTGCCCAAAGTGGCAAATGTCCCTGCCTAGTGAATTGGGATTTATGGTAGAATGTTAATCTTCTTTAAATACCCCTTCCCCATTTAATATCATCTAATTCCTAGAAATTTGCTTGTAACAATTAGATTTGAATGAGAAAGGAAAACTGAACCCTTGTGAAGTAAGCAGTGACCCATTAAGTGATTCACAACTGAAGTAGTTTATTAAAAGCTTGCCATGCTATCTTTCCACTGAAATTCACACTAGAATTTCCTTCCTTGGATTCTGCCAAAATAGCACTCAAGGCGTAAATTTTGATGAGATTTAAGACTAAGCAAAAAAAAAAAAATCAAAAAACAAACAAGCAAAAACTCAGAATAGATAATTTCATTAGTAAAAGATCCACTTCATAAAATTTTACTGAATAGAACTTATTAATTAAATAACTTTGGGGGAAAAGTAACTCCAATATGCACTATTGCACAGTAAATCATTAAATGGGAATGGAGGCAAGATACATAAATGCCTTGAGGGTTAGGCAGTCTCTTGCCCTCAAAGACTTTCCACTTGGCTCAAAAAAAAAATTTAGCTTCTGATTGTATTTAGTTAAAGCATTTATGTGAGATAAAGGGAAATATATTTGTCGAGTAGCTGCCAGGTACTGTTGGAAAATATTGAAGGATCATCTAATTTAGTGCTCTTAACAACAATGCATGATAATCATATTTTTAAGGATGATATAAATGAGGCTCAAAGAGAAGGCAAAAGCTTACCTAAAATCACAATGGTACATAAGGGACTGATGATACGCAGTGGGCTTGACTCCACTGTGTGTGTGTGGGGGGGGTGTTGGGGGAAATAAATATGTAAAGGGAGTATAGAGGCCTTTGATACTATTACTTTCTATTAATGTTATTATATACTCGAAGAAGCATCAAGTTACTGGACTATTACTGTGATTCAGAATGTGGGGCTCCATAGATGACAACCCCAGAGCCAGCTTCCTAAGTATTTCCTCTGTATATTTCAGATATTGCTGGTAAAATTAAAATATCAAAATATCAAATATCAAAATTACAAAAACACTTTTCTCATAGTTGGGAATTTTAAAGATTAATCCATTTCATCTAAGTTTTCCATCCTGTAATATTATGAAAAATACTCTCAAATTTCCTAGAGCCTTTGTTTTTTTTATTGAAGTATAGTCAGTTTACAATGCTGTGTCAATTTCTGGTATACACCACAATATCATACATGGGTATACATATGTTTATTTTCATATTCTTTTTCACCATAAGCTACTACAAGTTATTGAATATATTTCCCTGTGTTATACAGTATAAACTTATTTATCTATTTTATATATGCCAGTCATTATCTGCAAATCTTGAACTCCCAGTTTATCCATTCCCACCCCACTCCCCACTGGCAACCACAAGTCTATATTCTATGCCAGCAATCCCACTATTGGGCATATATCCAGAGGGAATGTTAATTCAAAAAGACACCTGCACCCCAGTGTTCATAGCAGCACTATTTACAATAGCCAAGACATGGAAACAACCTAAACGTCCATCAACAGATGACTGGATAAAGAAGTTGTGGTATATTTATACAGTGGAATAATACTCAGCCATAAAAAAGAATAAAATAATGCCATTTGCAGCAATATGGATGTCCCTGGAGAATGTCATTCTAAGTGAAGTAAGCCAGAAAGATGAATAAAAGTACAATATGATATTACTCATATGTGGAATCCTAAAGCCTTTCAAACTCATATCACCTCTTCTTATCTTCTGATTTCTCCCACTAATTATAGGTCCTGGCCACCATCTACACTCCCATTATAAGATGCAAAGACACACTCACTCAAGCTATTGTAAAAAAAATTCTAGATTTCATTGTTTATGCAGAGCATTTTATCTCCTTGCCTTAACTCAAAATCGATTTTTTTTTAAATTTTCCAAATTCCCCCTCTAGAGCATGCTTTTTGTGAAATATTCTTGAATGAATCTACTAATTCTTCTGCATCATGGGGCCAGGAAAAGTATTAATGTTTTCTTATTGTCTCAGGGTTACTTATAAGTTATAAATCTATAAATTTCACAGTATATTAAAAGGTTTATTCTCTTTGGTGATATACTACCTGGCTTTACACTCTTTTTCTCCTCAACTATTTATTCCTGGCTTCTCTAATTCATGCACTAAAATTTGCAAAGTGTGGTTAACAGTTTTGATCACCAGCCAATTATTGTCCTATTTCTAGATTATATCATCAATGAAGAAAATGTACCTAATATCAAAATCTCTCAGTGTATTTAATTCTCTAGTTCCAGTGAAGCTCACTTCCCATTCACTTCAGATTATCTTACTCAAGTTACATTCTGGATCTTTATATTCCTGTTATATCCATAAATCATAAATTCCAATATCATGGTATTGAGGAGTTTGTGGTTCTCCACCCAGATGCCTCCTTAGAAACATGGCATTAATTTCATCAGCTGTCAGATCTGCTGCTCACAGAGAGCTTTAAGCTATATTGCTCCCCAGAAATGTCCCTCAGGCCAAAGAGAGCTGTCTTATCTAAGTTCTTATTTATCTATTAGTAGTTAAAAACAATACAGATTTATTTTATCTGTGATCCAGGAATTTAGACACTGCTTAGTTAGGTTCTTTGCTTCAGAGTCTCTCACAAGGCATCAAGCAAAATTTTGCTCAGGGTTGGGGTCTCATCTGAAGGCTCAACTGTGAAGGATTTTCTTTTCTAACTACTTACATGAATTTATTCATTTAATATTCTAAACATTTCTGAGGTCTTCTTGACATATTTCATTCTTCTTTTCAGCTTATTCCCTTAACTACTAATCCACTGAAAACAAATGCCATCAGATGTGATTTTTCTCCATCTGTGTATCTGCAGTTGCTAAAGATCCATACATCTATATCTAATGTTACCTCCCTTTCTTCTAGTCTCAGAAGATAAAATTTCCTCCCTCTTGCCTAAAGCTAATCTTTCCATCTATATCCCTGACTATATATTCTCACAAACTTCTAGACCATGTTCTATCAGATAACTTCCTTTTCCTTCACATATTCAACCTTTCCTCTTCTACTGCCTTTTCAGCTATGAATTTATCTAACTTTCTACCATTCTATAATCCTCTTCTATTGATGCTATATCTCTTTCTGGTAGGTACCTCTTGCGACCATGTATAGCTATCCATTTATTCTCATCTTAATACATTTTATTCTTGTTGTTTCTAATTTTTCATTATCATAATCAATTCCAATTTGTTTTGATCCCCTTCACTCCTTTCACCAAAGTCACCAATAAGACCTTGTCAAACGAAATAGCTGTATTTTACACATTATGTGTTCAGATATTTTCTTGCATTTGGCTGTATCAGTCAAACACTAACTTTGAAACTCTCTTTTCTGTTTCCTTGACACCATACTCTTCTGAATCTCCAACTCTTTCTGACAACTTCTCAACCTCTTTCATAGGCAAGACTTCCATAAATACTATTTTTGAAAAAAGACTATTCCTCTTAAGGACACAGAAATCAAATTGAGATAGCTCCCAATAGCCAAAGATGGAAAATTTGAATTACAAAATAAATAACAATAGTATTGAATTATAATACAAAGAATAAAATAAATATTTTCAAATTTATACTGTAAATAAGTGATTGAATAAGTAAATAAATAAATGAAAATAAATAAGGAGTACATCTTCCTTACAGAAAAATTCTAAACAATAAAATAAAATGAATTCTAAATAATAAATTAAATGAATTAGAAAAATGTCATTAAGACATCACAATAATTGTTACTGCAGGTAAGATCCATTCATGGGTGCTAAAACTTATAGGTAAAACTTTAAGGAGAAACAATATTTTTAAAACCTCAAAGTCACTCCATCAAAATATTTACTAATTACTTGATGGTTTTAACTTGTCTACAAATTATTTGATTCCTCTTCCTCTAGGAAATAGAGGTTAATTTCATTTCCCTTGAATGTAGAATAAACTTAGTTACTTTCTTCCAAAGAATAAAATGTAAAAAAGGAAAATATTAATTTTACAGTGGGGAAACCTGATAGACATCATTGTTTTAAAGGATCAATGTTAAGATTACATGATATTAACAAGCAAGCATTATATTTATGTGGTATTTTCCCCCCAAATCCATAATTCTAATATAATCATGAGAAAACATCAAGCAAGAGAAAGAAAAATACCATATGGTGTAACTCATATGTGGAATCTAAAAAAAAAGGAAAAGAAAAAAGAGACCACTAATGAATTCATCTACAAAAGAAATAGACTCACAGACATAGTATACAATCCTATGGTTCCCGGGAAAAGGAGATGGAAGGGATAAATTTGGGATTTTGAGCAGAGAATATACACACGATCTTATGGTAGCTCACAGAGAAAACAACTTTGACAATGAATGTATATATGTTCATGTATAACTGAAAAATTGTACTTTACACTGGAATTTGACACAACATTGTAAAATGATTATAAATCAATAAAAAATGTTAAAAAAAGAAAATGTTAACCACTATATATGAAAAAAGATTAAAAAACAAATTTATTTTGTATAGCATAGAGAACTATATTCAATATCTTGTAATAACCTTTAATAAAAAAGAATATGAAAACATATACATGTATTTATATATGTATGACTGGGACATTATGCTGTATACTAGAAACTGACACATTGTAACTGACTATACTTCAATTTAAAAAAAAGAAAGAAAACGTCAAGCAAAGTGAAACATGAGGAATATTTTACAAAGTAATTTTCAAAAACGTCAAGGTTATGATGAATAATGAAATAAAGAGAAACTATTACAGATTAAAGGAGACTTAGTAGATATGAAAAATAAAAACAATGTGAGAAATATTCTAGATTGTATCCTGGAACAGAATAAAAGAGAATAGCAAAACAAGAACCAAAAAAGAAAAAAAATTCAAAACAAGTCTGTATTTTTTTTACTGGTATTGTACCAATATTAATTTCTTAGCTTAGATAAACTTATCATGGTTATGTAAGATTTTAAAATCAAAACAAAGAAAGAGTATTATCCAATGCTTTATCTTCTATTTACTGATGTTATCATTCTTCATCTTCTCCTTGAGCAATCAATCAATATGATTTCAAACACCATTTATATGTTGATAAATCCCTAATCTCTATTTTCAGTCCAGAACTTTTATCTGGGTTTCAAATTTAATAGAATGTCTTAAGTAAATAAACAAATGAATAAATAAATGGATATAGTTTCAAAAAGCCTACCAGAGATATTTCTAAAGAAAACTAAGAGAAGCAGCATTTTATAGTAAAAGTAAATCAGGATTTGGAAAAAACACTATAGTTTTGCATTCCATATCTATTTTTATCTGTGTTAGTTAAGGAAATTGTATTAAACTTATAATCTTTTGTTTCCTCATTTCAAAAACGGTGATGATAAAATGACTCACTTGCAATTTTTTATGAAATTCAAAAAATTCAGTGTGTTTAAAAGCACTCTGTGAAGTGATAAGTTCTATGTAAATGCCATCTACTATTCTTGTCAATCTGTGGTTTGCTCCAATTTAATCATAAAGAAGCCCATTTCACTGTCAAATTTTGGGACAGGGAAATTTTTTAAATCATGTCATGTTTATAGCTGTAATTATTGATGTATAGGACTAAGTACACCCACAACTAGTTAACAGCATCTGCTAGAGGCTTTGAGGGCAAAATTGCACACTTGTACCTTATTTCAAAAGTGCAATTAACTGCCTACAAAACTAATTGAGGGCATAAAAAGAGAGAAAAATTGGGCTCAGTTAAGGCCTCAATGCCATAACTCTAATCTCCTTTGCCTTAAAGAATAGAGCCTTCCTTATTCTAATCCCCTTGCATTGGAGAATATATTATTCAGATTGACCCTCTTCTTGATTCTGCACACTACTTAGAAAGAACATAATTGACTCACAGCTGCTGTACTCCAAAAACAACAAGTGTCTTTAAGGGAACTTCAAGAAATTTTAATGTTACAGAAACTCTCATCACAAGATATAGGAAATGTCTGTGTCAAAATTGCCTGGCCTTGAAAACATTCTTCGATTCCCCCCCAAAATCAAATCATAGTCACTAAAAATAAAATATAAACAAACACAAAATTAAAGTAAAAAAAGACAAGTTTCAATTTCAGTTCCGGTACCTCTTAACCAGGTAATCTTAGATAAGTTTCTTTACCACATGAACATTAATTTCCTCCTGTGTAAAATGTAATCATAAGACTAATCTTGCTGATATATTGTAAAAATGAGATAATATATTTGAAAATACTTTTGTAAACAAATATCACTGTGTGAGCAGGTTATTGTTATTAATTTGTGCTTACACAGGGACTTTTCTATCCTAAGGGTTTTTTGGTTTTGTTTTGTTTTTCTAACTAGCCCTCCAAAGAGTCAGTATTTTTCCTAATACTCATAAACCAGTTCTGTGAGTGACTCACTTCATTCCCAGAATTCCAATTATGAAATATTAGCTCTGAACCCAAAAGAAATGGAAATGAAAATACAGTGTCAGATCCTAAGTATCTAACACTTCATAGCATTAAAAATCTTGCCTATATCCAAAAACACCATATAATACTTCATACTTCTATGTCTGGTATATCACATATTCAGTAGAAAACAGACCTATCAATTTCCACCGTATAATAGGCAGATGCACTCTATATGTGCTTCAAGTGGTTTCATTACTGAAGTAGACATTTTATATCATGTTATTTAACATTTATTTTCCAGGTGGAAAAGCTGAAGCCTACAAAGTTTTCTCAAAGTCAAATTTTCTCTTAGAGTTGGGACCAAAACACATATTCTTTGACATCCTGTCAGAAGCTCTTTCAAGACAGCAAGATCTACTCAGTGTGCTAGAATTGCTTTAATCTAGGACATTTATCTCTAGAAAGGGAAACATTATTTCTATCTTGGTTTAGTCTTAGTCTAGAAAAATGCTCTGCTGATTGTTGTATCTTTCCTGGAAAATCATTTTCTTGACTAATTTGGCAGTGATATCATCTCAAGACAAGGAAAGGAATATAAAAGTATTTTACAAATTGTAAAGCCTTATGGACTCTTGAACTACTACTACTAATTATAATAATAAGCCATTTATTGAGTAATTGTTTGTCCTAGGCATTATGAAGCTAAGTTTAATGAATGACCTCATTTAATTCTCACAAAACCTCAATTAAGCAGATATTATTTTTATCCCAACTAACTAGGAAATTGAGGCTTATAGATATTAAATAACTTACTTAAAGCCCACAAAAATGTAGAGGAAATAAACTGTTTCTTATTAAAGTTTAGTAATATTAATCAGATGGATAGATAGGTGAATGAATCGATGAATGAATGGATGGGTGGAAGAAGAAATCGATAGATGGATTGGTAGATAGAAAGTGTGCCTGTAATTGTTCTATTTCATAAATGTCCATATATTTGCATATTATTGATTGTGGGGTAGACATCAGTTACTAATGGATTCAGAGAGAAGTAAATGAAGCAGACTTTTGTTCTTACACAGAGCCTAACATATACACCATTTCTTTATCAACATTTTGTAATAATTATAATAGTAGTAAGTATCTGCATATTTATAATATATTAATGTTATATAATTGGGTTTCATATACCTTATTCCCAACATTCCATATTTTTAAAATTTAAGCTATAATTCACATATTTTTAAATATATCCTTATAAAGTGTACAAATCAGTATATATTAGTATATTTATACAATTGTGCAACCATCATCACTATTTAATTCCAGAATATTTTCCTCACCCCCAAAATATATTCTGTATCCATTACCATCCCATCTGCTCCTTCCACCAGCCCCTGGAAAACACTGATTTACTTACTGACTCTATGAATTTAACTATTATGAACATTTTTTTATAAATAGAATCATACAATATGTAAGATTTTGTGTATAGGACCTTTGCTTGGCACAATGTTTTCAAGGTCCATTTTTGTTGTAGCATGCAACATTGCTTTATTTCTTTTTAGTACCAAACAATACTCCATTCTATGAACATACTGCATTTTTTATCCATTCATCCATTCATGGACTTTTAGGTTATTATGAGTAATAGCTATGCTATGAACATTCATTTACAAGTTTTCGTGTGAGCATGCATTTTTATTTCTCTTGAATATGTACTTAGAGGGGGATTATTTTGTTATATGATAGCTTTATGATAGACATTTTAAGAAACTGACAAATTGTTTCCCAAAGAGGCTACAACTTTTTATATGCCTACCACTAGTATGCAAGGATTCCAATTTCTCCACATCTTTGCCAAAACTTTTTATTATAGTCTTATATATAGACATACTATATACATTTATAAAATGATTAAATATACATTATATATAGCTATTATAGCTTCATGTGAAGTCGTGTTTCATGGTTTCTATTTGCTTCTCCCTAATAATTAGCGATAAGCATTTTTTCATTTATTTATTTTAATTGGATTTTCTTTTTATTTTGGGCTTGTATGGATTCTTTACACATTCTGAATACTAGAAAGTTATCAGATAAATAATTTTTAAGTATTTTTCTCCCATTCTGTGGGTTGTTTTTCCACTTTTTGATGGTGTTATTTGAAGAATAAAATTTATTTTTTATAAAGTACAGTTTTTCTACTTTTTTTTGATATTTGTCCCTTTGGAGTCACATCTAACAGCCATTGCCTAATCCAATGTTACAAACATTAACACATGTATTCTTCTAAGACTTATAGTTTTAGTTATGATATTGTGGTCTGTGATGTATTTTGAATTGATTTTCATGCACTATCTGTGGGAAAAGTTCAATTTCATTCTTATGCATATGGATATATAGTTGTTCTAAAACCATTTGTTATAAAACTATTTTCCCCATTGAATTAACTTGACACCACTGTGAAATACACAATTGACCATGAATGCGACAGTTTATTCTGGGCCTCTCAATTCTAGTCCATTGATCTCTAAGTCTATCATTATGCTGGTACCACACTGTTTTGATGTCTATAGCTAAATTTTAAAATCAGGAAATATTAATGCTCCAAATTTTTCTTTTCCAAGATTGTTTTTTCTATGCTGAGTCCCTTGCATTTCCATATGAATTTTAGATTAGCTTGTCAATCTCTACAAACAGACAGGTGGGATTTTGATAAGAATCCTATTAAATGCAAAGATTGATTTCAAAAGTACTGCCACCTTAATATTAAATATTAAAGTCCATAAAACTGTGATATATCCCCACTTATTAAAGTCCTTTTTAATTTCTTTAAATATTGTAGTTTTAAGAATATGTGTCACATTTCTTTTTTAAAATGTATGTGTCTTTGATGTTAT